GAGTTAATTTTCTCTTTTATAATGGGGAAGCTGAGGCTCAAAAAAATGAAGGAACTTTCCCTAGAGCCCACAGTTGGTGAACCCCAGAGCCAAGATCCTCCCATAGCTCCAGAGCTGGAAYAGTCTCTCCATATGTGGCCTGCACCCTGTAAAGCACTTCTTGTTATCTGGCAGATGGTGAGGAAGAGGCTTTCTCCTCTGGTTACTGATATTTTGATTTATCTTAATAAAAGTGCCACAGGAAAGCAGGGAGCTGAAACTCCAAACTTTGGTTCTTGTGTTCTGATGAAAGAAGATTTAAAGTCAGATAAGAGAAMTTTATTAGAAGTGAAAGTGCGGTGAAAAGAAAAAAAAAAGTAAAAGAAAAGTGATGGATAAGCAAAAAGCACTCTCAAGGGAGAGAATGGGCCATCTCCAATAAAGAATGACAAAGGAAACAATGCTACCCCCAATTTCATTCCTATTTGATGTTTACCAGGAGAACTGAGGACCACCTTCTGTACACTTAGCCAATCAGGTGTTCAACTCTTCCTTAACATCAGGCGGTGGAGTTTTAGACCTTAGTTGGTCCTCTCCAGAACTGTCATGGTGGGCTTCATCTATAATTCAATCAACTATAAGTCAATCAATCAATCTATACGTTAATGTCATCTATAAGTCAATCAATCAATCTATAAGTTAATGTCAGCACTGGGGTCAATTGGTGGTCAGAAGTTACCTTAGTGCACCTGCACTACTAAAGGGATCTTCCTCCCTAGATAAATGGAGGTACTTTTAGGAGATACTTTTAGCCATAATTCCTAGCTTCATGTCAACATCAATGGACTGTATCTAGAGTTAGTACCTTTAATCCTTTTCTCTTGACATATTTCCTGATAAGCTCATTTCACTTCTGTATTTTTCTACAAATTATCACATTTTATTGTCTTCTTTACTTTTGAAATAAAGAAGACACTAACGTAAGTTAAAGCTACAACCTAACAAAAGAAAAAAAAAGATTTAACTTCTTAAATTCCATATTTGCTACACCAGACTTACATTAAACATACTCAACATAAACCTTATAGACAAAATAATATAATATGAAGACAGAAAAATATTTATAAGAAAAACAAATTCTTAAGGGCTTTGTTTTATCTAATATCTTTAGATAAAGATTATTTATATAAATTAATGAAAGTTGTTAAATTCTAAAATTAAAAGTCAACTATATTGAAAATGGATATTGATAACCCAGAAAATCATATTAAAAAAATAAGATTCCCCCTCCCCATAAGAAAAAGAAAAAGAAAAAAAAAGCATACCCAGCAAATTTTGGAGTTCAGATGTGTTGTATTTTCTGCTTTCACTAAACTCTAGGATGCCTCAGGTTAGGGACCTTGTTTATTTTAGTTGGTTATATCTTTATGCCTTCTTTTAGTGACACATGGTAGATGCTCACTCTATTCATACTGGTTGAATATATGAATATATATTCATAAGGAAACTTCCAAACCTCCGGGAACTAAATTTGAGTTTAGTTGAGGAGAAAAAGTTCAGAACTATTCCTATCACACACACTTCCCTCAGTGTGAGCCCCTTTAGCTTCACACATGCTTTGTGTCCCCAGACACACAGACAAGTGCATGTTCAACTGTGACTAAAACTGTTTTTCAGTTGGTGAAGAAATATGGGAATGTTTTTGGCCTGCATTTTGGTAACGTGTCTTCAGTGCTCGTAACTGGACTGCCCTTAATCAAAGAAGTTCTTTCTCAGACAGACCAGTCCTTCMTGCACCGCCCTGTAACGCCTGTCCGAGAACGTGTCTTTAGGGAAAATGGTAAGTTTATTGATGACAATAAGGTGTGCATTGAAATGCTATGGTCTCTTCACCATGTCTCTATGCCTATAATTTTCTGACACTTCCAGAAGTTAACCTCATTATGAAATAAATGCCTTCCATTATAAGAAGCCAAATGCCCACATTTCCTGGTTGAAAACATCTCCTTCTAAACATTTGTCTGAGTGGTTCCTGATAGAGATTTTGGAGAAACCACATGTCCTGCACAAACTCTGGATGCTTTGATARTGAAGTAACCACATCACCTAATTATAACAGAGGACGAGACAGTGTGTGA